TGGCATTACCATAGTCCAATCTGGGCAGAACGAGCGCCATCACGAGGGCCTCAAGGACCGGCCTCGATAGACAGCGGCTGATGCTGCGTACTCGTCGCAGAGCGCCAGAGCGAGCGGTGGTAATTTTGGCAATGTGACTGTTCATTGAAAGTTCCGAGTCCAGCAGAATGCCACTGGTTGCGAACTGCGGGCGCAGGCATGACGAACTCGTTGCCCACGCTAACATTGTTGGCCGGAAGCTGATGCTGGCGCCGAGCAGTCTCAAACCAAATGAAGTCGAATTTTGATGCATTGAGCTGGAGCCGGTTGGATCGCATTCAGTCTGAGACAGCGTCCATGCAGGCAGACATACGATCCTGCAACGTTGTGGCGTCAGCCAGTGCACCGTAGCCATAAATTTGGGTGTCGTCGGCGAACATATGCGGATTCAAATTATGTGAATCGATTATATGCAATACGTCGACCATATATAACAGGAAGAGAATCTGGCCGAGAACTGATCCCTGTGATACGCCGCAGAAGACCAACGATGGCGTAGAAGAAGAGTTCCCGCGTCGAACGCATTGGAATCTATTGCTGAAATAGGACTCGAACTACAGCAGCACTGTGACGCGCAGGCCAAAAGATACGGCAAGTCAACGCAATAATGTAGCGTGGTCGACCGTGTCAAACGCGGCCGACAGATCGAGTAAAGCTGGTGCCGCAATGTCTCCACGGTCTACTGCGCGCATAATGTCTGGAAGCACCTTCAGCACAGCGGCTTCCGTCGAGTGGAGATGACGGTATGCAGACTGGAGGTGAAGCATGAGACCGGACTGCTGGAGATGGTTCTTCAGCTGTCGCTCCACAACGCGTTCCAGGAGTTTCGATAAAATCGACAGTTTGGAAATGGGTCGATATGATTTGGGATTGGAAGCGTCAAGTTCTGTTTTTTTAATAGAAGCGTAACGTAAGCTGATTTGAAGTTCATCGGAACAACACCGTCAGTGAGGCAGCGGTTGATAAGTTCGACCAGAAAAGGTGCTATGGTTACATTTCCCTTAAGTAACGACGTCGGCAGCACTGATTGTTGGTAGCGCGTGCACTGCAGCGATGATGTCGTCAGCTGTGACGCAAGTGAATTCTTGGAGCACGCAGTCGAACGGGCACGGGACAAATGCTGCCGGCGGAGCATCGGCCGACGTCGCTCGCACAGCAAAAATTTTTCCTTCAAAAACCGCATGGAATTCCTCCACGTTTACGTCACCCGAAGCATCTGTATGACTTCTTCCCATGAGTTTATCCAGTTAATGCCAAAGTGCCCGAGGATCGCTGCGTTTCCCGTCGACTTTCTGGCGCCAAAATGACTTTTTGAGAACGAAGAAGGTCGACATAATTGCGCTGCGCATCTCGCCAGGTGGAGACCACAGCCGCGGCAGCAGCAGGATTGCCGCGTCTGTTCGCCCGGTACGTAGACAGCCCGCTGGAGCAGTCGAATCCCCCGCTTCGAGACTCGACATTCATCATCGAACCCTTGGTCGGAGACTCGTTGGGGTACCTGAACTGTGCGTGCAAGAAAGAGGTTATCGAGTGCTCAGGTCAACTCGGTGTTGCAGAGTTACACTAGGTCGGGACGACTGCAGATTTCGCGTAAGACATCGCCGTCGAGACCGCGCCACGGACGACAGGTAACGGTCTTGTACGCTGGCACCAGGCGCATACATGGCACCGTTCACTGAAGTAGTTGATGGTCGAATATTGCGATTTCGATGATGTCGACTGGTAGACTTCGAAGGTCAGCACGCGTGATGACAACGTCCAGCAGTCAGCCCATGTCGTGCGTCGGCAAGGTCACGTGAAAAACCATGCCAAAGATTGCCAAGAACTCCTCCGCGCGAGGCCCGGACGGGCTCACGGTCCTGCATTTTAAGCACGTCGGACCACGCATCCAATTCCTCACCCGCATTTTTAATATCTCCGTCGCCACAGCCTCTATTCCATCCATTTGGAAAAATTCAATAATTATCCCAATCCTCAAACCGGGCAAACCCGGTAACCAGGGCTTTTCATACCGCCCTATCTCCCTCCTCTGCCCTGCAGCCAAGATCCTAGAGCGACTTGTGCTCCCTTACATCTCGGGTTCCCTTACTACCGTCCCCTCGCAACATGGTTTCAAGCCGGGACACTCCACTGTCACCGCCATCCTCCCGCTCGCGCACCAGATCACGACGGGCTTNGAAAGGTATGTGGTTTAAAAAAAAAAATAAAAAATTGTCACAAAATTTCAAAAGACCGATCTCAATAAATTTTTGGTGTGAGTTTCTTATCTACCTTAAATATATTGGAAATCGGTTTATTATCGCCTAACTTGCTGTAAAATTCCAGTTTTCTTCTTGATCTTGTGATGAAACGCACTCGTGGCTTCTCTGTACTCGATTGTTTATACCACCTTACGTGAAGTGCCGACAGGTGCACCCTAATGCGAGTGTACCGCGCGCTAATTCGATCTAAGATGGACTACGGCTCTGTCGTCTCCTCTGCAAAACCTTCAGCTCTCCATCTTCCGGCGGAAGTCTAGTAACTATTTCAAACTATCGTCAGTCCTGAAAAGATCCGGTCAAATGACGCGATTTCAGATCTTCTGTGAACAAGTCACGAAAAGTAAGAATCGGCGACAGGCCACATCAGGCCTACTCTTCAGCGCCGACATCGCTATGTTACGTTAAACCTGTCCACAACAGCGCCATACGGCTGTGCAGGGCGTTTCGGTCCTCGTCTATCCTCAGTCTCTACGTAAAGAGCTTCCTTTTAGCACTAAAAGAGACTTCTTAATGTTGCAGTATCTTGCAAGAGCTCAACAACGACCAACTCGCCCTCTTATTTGAGCGTTATACAGCAATGGCCCTAGGGTCGCCTATGTACACTGAATTTGAACATTTGCGCAGTATCTTTTCACTAAATGGGTTTTCGTCACAATTGGTGTTTACTCAAATTAAGAAATTCTTATCTAAGCAATATGTTGAGGTTGTTCCCGAGCGTGACTATAGGAATTGTTTTTATTGTTCTTTTCCTTAGCTTGGCCCCGCATCTGAGACCATGGCAAAGAAATTGAATATCTATTCTCTAAATACCTCTCGAATGCAAATTTTCATGTATTGCTAGTGAACAATTTTGAATTGGCTCGTTTTTCATGTATAAATATACTCTCCCTGTTCTTATGCAATCATCCCTAGTTTATCAAAATAGCTGTGCGCTGTGCGCATCTGCGTATGTGGGTGTGACATCACACAATTTTTATACTAGGCTTGCAGAGCATAGAGGTAGGAGTTATAGAGCAGGGAACAAACTTGCGCATCCCCTCATTCGGCCGTACGTGTTCATGCCAAGCCTTACAACGTCCCGGTATCCAATAGTGATTTTGGAGTTTTAGCCTCCACAACCGGTGTTTCTGACTTATGAATTTTAGAATCATTGTATATTTTTAAACAGAAGCCCAGTTTAACTACCGCTTTCAGTTTCTATCCTCTAAAAAGTGTAAATAGATAGTATCTTCTGCTCATGTTATCTCATTTATGTTTGTTTTATTTTCGATTTTGGTTCCAATGTCCTCAAGTTTAGGAGAATTGTTTGAATGTGAATTTTAGGTTAGCAATTGTTTGTACCTGTGTTCTAGGTTTTGAACTGACGATGAAGCTAGACTCCGAAACGTTTTCTATTATAAGAAATGGTGAAATTTTTGGCTATTTTTTTTTTTGCTTTTAAATTTCTGATAAATTTGCGATTTAAGTAACCATGGTGATCTTAAAGCGTCCGGCCTTGGCCACCCTTGTCCCATCGTGTACACCGAGTCGAGGTATGCCTCACTTGTCTCCTTATTGGGCACACGCAGTACCACCCATGGCTATCTCATGGAACTCACACCAGCCCCTTGCTGCATGGACTGCCTAATGCCACAAAAAATGACCCACATGCTATTTGAGAGCCCGTCTTTGGGTCCTGGTNGGCAACACTGCAGTTTGGGAGATGCCCGACGACTATTCTTTCCTCACCTACCCAGGACGAACACCTAAAAAGTGTCCTGGCCCCACCAGAGCGTGGGACTTATAAAGTTGACACCACATAGAGTACCTGAGAGCGATAAACATATTCGCCTGCATATGACATATGCAGGCGAACATATTCGCCTCTTAACATCAAATATACGTGATATTTTCTGATTCCTAGCTCGCGATGCCCAACGTGTCATTCGTCGACAGATAGTTCGTCCTGAAGCGCCGGAAATTGAGGCCACTAAACTAACTGCCTCCTATACTGGAGCTTTTCTATAAAGAATTGCCACGTGGAATGCACTCTCAATTCTTGATACAGTTGCTGTAAACACGGGACAGTGGGCAACTAAGTTTAATTTTTCGAAAAAGTACAGATATTAATTTGTTATGTTTGAAAACGTTTTTACTGCTAAATTCCTATTTTTAATCCGTTAGCTCATTCCTCGAAATCTGCTATTGACCACAAATGTATTTTATGATTATCATAATTTCAATACAGTTAAAAATGCTTGAAAGTGAAGAGCGATTGATGCCTGGAAGATCGAATGTGTGCTGAATTACACACTAAAAGATGAAATGTAGGTACAGCAAAAATGTGTATGTACATTTTATTAAAAAACACACATATATATCGCGATTTCAGCTTTGCTTAACCCGGCCTCCTCGCCGATTCTGACCAGAAACTGGCGCACAGAGCTGGGATCGAACCCGCAGTCCCGCACCTCTCTGCGCCAATCACGGTACTCTGAATTGAAACCACTGGGACACCCTGCCCTTCATATTTGTTGAATGTAACCTAATCTTCTGGTTTGAGCAAAAGGAACAATTTTCGAATCGTGTTCGCAGCTTGAGAGCACGATTTTCTGTTCGCGTTTGAAATTTTTTCTGCACTCTCTAGATTTCGTTGATGGAGTCCAGAATTTCCTAGATTGATTAGTTTGTAATTCCTCTGTGGATCTAAGAAACCTTTCTCGAATTCGTCGGGACAATGGATCTTAGTTATTCTAAAATCCAACTGATGATAACGTCAACTTGATTTATCACTGAAACTTTTGTATCGTATTATCTAACATCAGAAATTCAACCAATGAAGAAAAAGCTAACCCAGAAAGGTTTGCAAATTAGCCATTGGCAAAATTTTTCACCTTGCCAACTTACAAAAATATATTTTCAAACACATATATTGTTTCAATGGAACTCTGAAGCCTACAACTGATGACACACTAAAGTTAGGTTAAAATAAAATTTTTACTTAGTTAGGCATGATTTCGGCTTTGGAATTCGAAAAACCATAGAAGTTTTTGCCAAGTGGTTCTTCAGCATTTGTCTCAAAAGTTTTTCGGCCTCTTCGTCCACAATGAGGCCTCTATCTCGCATCTTCTGTTTGATGTAGTCGTTGTTGTGGTTGTTAATGTGATAGTGACCGGGTTGACCCTCCACAGCCCAAGTCAGAATTATTCCTGAAAAAAAATTTGATAGATCATTCATTCTTATGACAAATAGCCTTTTCATAATCGACTGTGTATTGAGCGTATTTTACACAAATAACTCGTTACTCAATATATTTGCATTGCAAAGAAAAATATCACTTCCTAGCTCAGTATAAATATATTATATTAAATATTGTGATATTAATCATTCAGCTTAAAAAAGTTTTACTTGTTGAAGAAAAAGCTCACAATGAGCCAATTTGCGATGTTTCCACTAAATTAAAAATAAAATATTTGCACATGGCGGCTATTTCATTACCTGTACAGGCATGCCGCACGAGGTTATCGAGGAAATGGCCTTCATGTTTAGGATCGATGTGCTCCCCAACCTCGACGCTCATCACCCAGTCCCACTTCCTGCCGAGCCAGAGGCCCTCCTCGCTGAGGTCGGCGTGCGCGATGAAGCCGCCGCTCACCTCCTCGATGGCGAGGCCCCCGTCATATCCTTCAGAGAAGATAATAACATCGCAAATTGGCTCATGGTGAGCTTTTTCTTCAAAAAGTAAAACTTTTTATGTTGAATGATTAATATCACAATATTTAATATAATATATTTATGCTGAGCAAGGAAGTGATTTTTTTCTTTGCAATGCAAAAGATATTGAGTAACGAGCTACTTGTGTAAAATACGCTCAAAACATAGTCGATTATGAAAAGGCTATTTGTTCTAAGAATAAATGATCTATCTGATCATTATCTGAGTATATGATCTAGTCTTCGAATGATCGGCCACTAGAATTCACAGTCTTATTTATCATGTAATTTTTTTACCACCTCATACCAGTTGGAAATAATGAATTGAAACGTTTTAAGGTACGCTGCATTAAAACAGCTAAAAAAAATTAATATATACGGACCATGCCATGAATATACAATTTGTGGCTTCTTTTGAATGTCATGAAAATCCTTATTTATGTCGGCGATGTATTCTGTTGGCGCTCCGAGTATAAACGCGTTCAAGAACAGACTAGATAAAGCTATGGAAAAAATATATGTTCAGACTTGAAATGCCTAGCACCATATCGAACCCGGTGGAAGTCTAGTAGTTATTTCAAACTATCGTTATATAGTCATGAAAAGATCCGGTCAAGGGACACGATTTTAGATCTCCTGTGAACAAGTCATGAAAAGTACACGAATCGATGACAGGCCACATCGATTTGTGCCACATCTTTGCGCTGAAGTCCTACTCTTCAGCGCCGACATCACTATGTTATCTTATATATTGCTGTGAAATAAATTTCAGGTCCCACCATTGAAAGTTTGATTGGACAGAATACTAATGTTTAAAAGCCTTTTCTGATTTCATAGACAAATTTAAGCGAAAATCGACATCATTCATGCTGCTTTTTACAATTTCTTCAGCTGAAGCAGGCAAAGCTTGTTAATATTAAGGGTGTAAATTCTAGACTCCCGAACGTTCGTACTTATTTTAAAGCAATTGGGTTTTAATAGCCTGCTACCAGCAATATTCGCCAGAGAGCATTTTAGTAGTCTTGTCGTAATAACCCAGAAAAAATACCAGGAGCGCATTGAGTACAAACTTTGCTACACAAAGTAAAAAGCTTGAATCATGTTGAGAAGCTCTCACAGATAAGGAGTAAAAGTGGCAACCTCGACGAGTATAAATCCGCTTTTAAATCATCTGTTAAGCAGATGAGGGAGTGTAGGCTCCCTTACCTGTATTTTTCTGGTTGCCATAACAGGCGAAATATTGCTTCATCCTTCTGTATACAATTGTTTGCTTCAACTAAAGTACATGAAAATTTTATATTAGCTTTGCAGGATGAGAATTGCCTTACTTTGTTTTGGCAATTATTCCAGGAGTTTGAGAGATCACTGTTCGTTACACTCAAATTTTGTTGATTCCGTGGTGAAAATTCATGATTTTCGACGTTTCCTGTTAAAAAAAATAAGAATGAAATGAGTTCTCTCTATATATGTTAATTGTCGTGAACATGTTCGTTCAATTAACTCTAAAATGTGAGTTAAAAAGCATTATTTGCATTTAGAAAAGATAAATTAGCAGTTCAATCGGTTAAAAACGTCCGATTTCCTTCCTTTAAATCTGTCAAATATGTGGCTTGAATAAGTCTTAAGATGTAGTATAAGCTTGGATATTTAATATTTTACAAATATAATTGGGCAGAAGAAGTCGATTTTTTCATGTAAAGTGAGAGAAATCACTCTATCTGCTCATGTATTTGGAAACCTTGAACTGCGTAGCTTTTTGGAGAATGAAGACATCCTGCGTGACTCGTCAACACCATCAGAGCCAGAGCAGCAGAGGTGATCACCACTAGCTTCAAGATTAAGTTCTCTATTGACATATTTCTGAAATTCTTTCCTGAAAGATAACAGATTAAGTGAAAATTTTACAATAAATTGTTATGAACATGCAAGTAGCTCCTAAAACGTAAAAGACCATGAAAACTATTTGAACCCAATTTACAGGACGTGACAGAGCCAAGCCGGTCGTTTTCGTTGTGTTAATAAAACTTATGAACTTGATGAAGTTACTCACATAGGACCCCGAAACTTCACTTGCCAAAACTGCTGATTTCATTTTTCGTGTTTGCTGGAAGTTTTTTGAACAGAGCGCGGTTTTCAAAAGTTCCTTGCTAAGCATTTATAGAAAATTTTACAAGTCAAACTTCAACGGTAATAGGAAATATTTATGTTAGAAAATATTTATCTTCCGTAATAAATTACGAATACTTAAGACAATTATTGTGAAAAGAAAATAAGTAAAATACCTAATTATGATAAGCGGAAGGAATTACTGTTGAACACACCGTTAGCGATAGAGAATGGTTGATTACGCATATCCATGAAATTAAAAAACAAAGAAGATGCCACAGAAATTTGTCATATCTTTATAAAGGAAAACGTTTCAGAGTCCAGCTTCATCGTCAGTTCGCAAACCCAGAAAGTCAATACAATCATTTTATAATCCAAAATTCAAAGTCAGACATTAAAACCTAATATTGACAAATAAAAGACTAATCCGCAAACATAGGACAGCAAAACTGGCCTATCCGCTAACAATGAGAGTGAGGAATTTGAGCATGGCTTCCGTTTGAAAATGTAAAGAGATTCTAAAATTCGGAAGTCAGAAAGACCGGTAGGTAGTAGAAGCTAAAAATTTGAAGTCGCTGTTGGACACCAGGTCATCGCACTGCTTGGCTTGATTTTGAAACTGTTTAATGAGGGGAATATTCGAGTAAATTTCATGTTCGACAATTCCTTCCCTTATGCTTATAGCCACTCTTGAAGATAAGTTGAGTGACTTTATATCGACATACGTTGATGCACATTGCGCAGAACTGAATTTGTAAACTAGAGACAATCGCATTAAGTCAGGGAGTGTATCTTTATACCTAAAGAACGAGGTGATCCACCAACAATATCCGGAGTTTGGCATTTGGAAAGTACTTAATGACTCAAACTTTCAACTCTAAAGGCAGTTTCAGATGCTGGCTGAAGTATGGGAATGAACAATAAGCAACGTTTCTATTATCACATCAGTATAGTTTACACATAAATTTTTAATTTGAGTAAACACCAGGTGAGACTGAAACCCATTAAGTGAGAAGGTATTGCGCAAAATTCAAATTCTGAGTGCATGGCATGGAAGGTTGAGCAAATACGAAAGCCGCGGTATATTAATTTTTGAATCCTATTTAATTTAAAACGAAATAGAAACTAAAGAAGCTGGTATTTAAACCGGTAAACGTCGATTTTTGGTAAACAGAAGTCTGGAAATGTGGAAACTTGACCTGGCTGGACGTAACCCTAGTAGAAAGGTCTCTAGCAACGTAAAGAAGGGTTTTCACACCTAACTCTAACCCTAACCTAACGAAGTGTGCGTTTTTTATGGCCGGTATTGGCGAGCGCAGCCGTGTACCACAAATTGTGTACACCAATAAGCCCTGAATCGAACGCCTTGGATCTCTCCGGGACATCCACCAATCAGCCGTGAATGGAACCTGCTATCCGTAACCGATCTTTGACGTCCTTCTGCTTTGAATATTTTAGCTCTACACCCCCCAGACACGAGGTCGATTAGCCTTGAGTCGAATGGCCTTCCTCCACTGAACGTTGCGTCGAAGCATCACTTCATATTCGAATGGCCGTCCTCCACTGAACGTTGCGGCGAAGCATCACTTCATATTCGAATGGCCGCCTCCACTGAACGTTGCGGCGAAGCATCACTTCATATTCGAATAGCCGTCCTCCACTGAACGTTGCGGCGAAGCATCACTTCATATTCGAATGGCCGTCCTCCACTGAACGTTGCGGCGAAGCATTTTTTCTCTGTGGTAAGTAGATGTTAAGGTAATACTTTGCAATACTTTCTGAAATCTTAACACGTATTTACAGGCCTAAAATTGGCTGCCGACTGTTGGAACATTCAAAGACTAGTGATTTTCCAACGGAGCGCAAACTTGGAGTTTGCTCGCACGATAAAATTTTATGGTCTCATGACCGTTGCAATGTCGTTTGTTCTTTTCCAAAAAGGAAATGATTGCTTAAGTGCCAGGCTCAGTGGCTTCCAACATGTGTAAGGCTTCCAGCGATGCTTATTGCCAGGAAAAACAAGGAAAAGTTCAAACGCTTTGCATATTTTCTACCATGGATTCGGACAGACGTGTAAGAAGATATCTAGAACTTGGATTGTGCCCCCAAGTTTTAGTAATCAAATTCATTATTTTTTAGTATTTTTCATAATTTTTCCCGATTGGTTCTCGAATCTATTCCAGTTGTTGAAAATTAAATTCAATTTTTCAGTGCAACCTCTGTGGCCTCGTGATTCCGTGATAAAACATAGAAGTTCATATCAGAGTCAGGTTAAATTCCTAAAAGCAATAAGAAGTAAGCTCAAATAGTCACAAAAATGTAAACAGTAACAGAAAGGAAATTTGTAGAGCATTTGAAAAGTTCAAAAGTTTTTGCGGCATCGAGTTCGAAGTTTGGTATCTTGTATAGGCTTTGACTTCTACGGCACTCATCCTTGCCCCTCCAAAAAGTAAATGAGTTCATTATTCACGCAGCAATTAAAGTAAAATACTGAATAAAGTAAAGGTTAAGGTAATTTTTAAAGTAAAATAAAGGTTAAAGTAAAAGGTTAAAACAAAGGTTAAAGTGAAACTAGGAAGTTAAACGCAAAGACAATACCACAAAAATTCCCCATATCTTTGCAAACGTGACATGAAATTAACGCTAGTAAACGGCCTATCTATTTACTATTACAAGAGGAAAGAAGCTAAAAGCGGCATTCATATACTAGGCTCCTGTTTGAATATATACAGGGATTCTAAAATTCGTAGATCAGTAACACCGGATGTGGAAGCTAGAATTTTAAAATCACTATCAGATACAGAGGTGTTGCACTGCTCGGCATGAACACGTACAGCAGAATGAGGTTGATGCGCAAGTAGGTTCCCCGTTCTGTAACTCCTGCCCTTATGCTCAGCCAGCCTAGTATAGAAATTGTGTGACGTCATACCGACGTACGCTGATGCGCACTGCGCACAACTATATCTGTAAACTAGTTGCGATCGCATAAGAACAGGTAGGGTATCCTTAAACCTGAAAAACGAGCCGATTTAAAAATTGTTAACTAGCAATACATGAAGATTTACATCCGAAAGATACTTAACAAATAAAAATTTTAATTACTTTTTACATATTCTCAGATGCGGTGCCAAAGTAGGGGAAAGAACAGTAAACAATTTTCTTACTGTCACACTTGGGAACAACTGCAGTATATTGCTTGGACATGAACTTTTTAATTTGGGTAAACACCAGGTGCGATGGAAAAACATGTTGTAAAAAGATATTGCGCAACAATTCAAATTCAGAGTGCATGGATAGGAAAGTAGAACAAAGGCGAAAGCCGCGGTTTATCAATGCTTGGATCCCATTTAATTTAAACGAAAGGAGCAAAAGCTGAAAAAGCTGGTGCCTAAGCCTGTAAATGTAGATTTTCTAAAAACAGAAGTTAGGAAACGGCCATTAGATTTGGTAACTTTGCAATCTAGGTAGGACAAGCTATTGTTTGATTCCAGCTTCATGGTGAATTTGTAGACTTATGTTGGAGATTAAGAGAGTCAAAGAAAGGGCCCACATGAGAGGGATGCTTAAAAATCGAAAAGGTATCAGCAACATATCGGGTATAGAAAATATACCTTTTGATTTTGATACCTTTTTGATTTTTAGAAAAAAAAAACCGTTTCAATGATCTGTTCTACGATCGAGGCTGCCATCGCATCGTTTTCAATAGAAATTTTCCTACTTGATGCAGCAGTATCTTATCTAAACGACAGGCTTGACAGTAAATGTTGAATGACGAACAAATTATAATAATGAATATCTTGAGCCTAGTATTTAAACATTGAATGGCGTTTTCGTCTTCATCGTTCACACGTTTGCACAAATTCAACTAGTTGATATAGAAGTTTTTCAAAACTGTAAATACAGAACTGATGTTTTTTCTTGCTGCCTCTGATTTTCCGAATTTCGTCTTCTCGAGCGCGCAGAGTGTTGGTCAAATTCTGCAGTAAAATTGACACAGGCTTGCCGACGAGGTGCCGCTCCCACGCCAAAAATATTTCCTGTTTCAAAATACGAACATGAGAAAGTTTATTTTTATTCTATCGTGTGCGCAATAAAATAGTTTCTACTTTGAGAAATGAATGGGAGAACCGGATGAGACTCCATTGAGATTCAAAAGCCGATTTATGTATCGTTAACACTATATTCGGCAGCTTTGTCAAATATTTTGCAACGCATTTCTTATTCTGAATTTTTTGTCAATCGACCTCTAACTGAGGATAGAAATGCTTCATACCACTTTTAAATGGGTATAAGGCGAATGAGGTCCTCATAAACTCATCATAAAACATCAAAATATATTTAAATTGCATGAAAAACTAATATTCTCAACTCGAGTGCAAGTAATTAAAATGAAATCATTCTACCTCATGTGTTCGCGATATAGCTGTTTATTAATTGAAAGAATTGAGCGAATATTCGTCACGACGTTATAATATAATATGAATTAATAACAAGTTAGCATAAGAGGTTTTAAGTTTAGCACTTGATCACACCCGTACGTACTAATAAGTCACAGGCCTCATTAGTACATGCAGGATATTTCGACAAGTGCCTAACAGAATATCGTTTACGTTTATGCAGAACGCAATCCCATGAATCAACTAATCAGTCTACACAGATATTTTGAAATAAAAAAAAATACGGGAAAATAATGTGGTAAAGGTTCCCCATGACATACCTGCATTGGGATAGAGAGACGGTCTGTGTCAACAGACCGAGGCATTGACCCAAGATGTCCGCCAAAAAATGTTGACCGCCCTCCATGGACCAAAGAGAAGCCTGAGTGCTCGACGGAGCTGCAGTGCCAGTTCGTGGGTCGGCACTGCTCGACCAGGCCGCTCCAGTCGCAACTCAGATCGTAGATGTACTCTGGAAACTATTGTGGAACTAATCAGAAGTAAAACAACCTTATCATTATTGTACTTAGGTTTATTTCTTTGAACAATACTCATCATAGGCAATTATTCGAAGATATAATGTGGATACTATAGTGGAACTAATCAGAAGTAAAACTACCTTAACATTGTTGTTCTTAAGCGTATAGTTCCAACAATACGCATCATCGTCAAATATTCGAAGATATACTCTGGAAACTATTACCGAACTAATCAGAAGTAAAACTACCTTATCATTACTGCTCTTTGGTGTATATCTTCCAACAATATGCATCATCGTCAAATATTCGAAGATGTACTCTGGAAACTATTGCGGAACTAATCAGAAGTGAAACTACCTTATCATTATTGTTCTTAGGCGTATATCTTCCAACAATATCTTAGGCACCATCGTCAAATATTCGAAGGAAATCGTCATTTTGATGTGACGCTGTACTTGCCAATGTAAAAAATTTACTTGCTTGGAAGTAAATAATATAAGTTTAAAAATTACTTTTTGAAGATAACACTTCTAAAGAATCCAGTGTCACCGATGTTACACATGTACAATGAATTTCTAATTTTATTTTCAAATATTAAAAAAAATAACTTTTACATTTAATATATAAAAAAATTAAAATTTCAAAAGTATTCATTCTGTCAATTGATTCATACATTGTCTCCGATTTTACGCAAGTGTGAACAATTTCAGATCGATTTGGCAGGTAGAAGTGCATTAAATATTGATAATAAAATTTGTTGCAGACAAAATTATTTTTTCATTTTGTTTATAATTTTTTGAATTTTCAAAATTATTTATTCTGGCAATTGATTCATGCATTGTCTCCAACTTTACGCGAATGTGCAAAATTTCAGATAGCTTGGAGAGGTAGGAGTGTCGATTATAAGATTCGTAGCAGACAAACATACAACAAGAAGTGGAGTTAAATAGAAGTGTTGTTATAAGAAAATAGTCTTGTCCCCGGCTGTAATTCGTAATTGAATTTTAAAATTCGTTTAACATTATTCAAATCTCATTTATTCTGAATACGATTTACATTGTTGGAGTCTGTTTTTGTCATTTTATTATCTACTCCTCATGACCGCATCTGAAGATATTTCTCTTAGCGGATGGTAATTGTTGCAGGTGGATAGAAAATAAGTAATGATATAATATCATTCACCAGCAGCTACGAACGTTGTTTACCTCACTGAAAACTACGTTGAGAATCTCTTGGTCAGCAAACATTCCGTACTTGAAGACTTGAACTACACTTTTCAACATGGGCTGCCAGTCAAACGGGAGGCTGCGCCATCGCGTCAGGTTAGTCAACATAACAGCGGCGCTCAGACCTCTCTCTCCATAATACGGGAACTGGATGGAAAATGTGAAGGTTATTCTATCGCGTCGGAATAGTTAACATCACAGCGGCGCTCAAACCTATCTTTCCATAATACGGGAACTGGATGGAAAACATGAAGGTTACGGCATCGCGTGGTTAGTTAGTATGAAGGTTACAGCATCGCGTGGTTAGTTAGCATCACAGCGGCGCTCAAACCTATCATTCCATAATACGGGAACTGGATAGGTAACATGAAGGTTGCGGCATCGCGTGGTTAGTTAGCATCACAGCGGCGTTCAAACCAATCGTTCCATAATACGGGAACTGGATAGGTACCATGAAGGTTGCGGCATCGCGTTGGTTAGTTAGCATCACAGCGGCGCTCAGACCTCTTTCCATAGTACGTGAACTGGATAGGAAACATGAAGGTTGAGTCATTGCGTTGGTTAGATAACATCACATAGCTGCTCAGACTTCTCTCCATAACATGATGGAAAGACAAGAAATATAAAGGTACATCATTGCGGCCCTACAGTTCTTCCCTATAATACAGGATCTGAAATGGATGGAAATCAATTAGAACTTGCGATCGAATGTCGGAAGAGTAACAAGAATATACTAAAGAAAAAACGAAATCATTTAGACAATGCAAGCTGTTTATAGAAGTGTCTCGTGGGCATACTCAAGTTATTATTAATGTAAAATCTCATTCAAATTGATACATTTAATATCATGTACCTGTCAAATTCAAATCTGAACTTAGCATTATGAAGCTTTGGTGCAATAATTTCAACAATTATGATTTTTACAACGTGCAAGATATTACATTCCAATTTCAAAGACGCGTAGAAGAGGGGATTACATTAAGGAACTGAAACTTTGTTAGCCAAATTAACGAGTAAATCTCAAATAAATGCCTGTGAATTATTAGCTAGCCACAAAGAAGTTCCAAGCCCTGAAACTAGCTATTTAAATATTTTAAAAACAAATTTCGTAGCCTTAATCCACCTCATATTTTTGAAATTTAGAGAAGCGGAGGGAATACAATATAAAGATGGGTATTAATATTTTTGTGTGTTTGATCATTGAATGCTATAAATTAGACAGTTCTATCTGAGCTGCCAAATTTTTCAAAGAAGAATTAAAATTTTGATGAAAATAATTTTGTTCATTATTGACTTGCATGAATTACCTCGACGTTGGATGAATGATAGTAGCCGTGAGAAGGCGCCATTCCAAAAACTTGTCGGTCATCAAAGTTTTCGAAATGCTGAGTCAGATGCTCCGGAGGTCTCATAAATACGTGATCTGTGTCAATGTAAACTATTGAGTCCAAGTCAGGCAGCGCCCACGGCAGGAACAACCTCGCTGTTGAACACTTCTCGTAGAGGTTGACCAAGTTCCAGTCATCGGGTATGAAGACTGGACGGTAATTTAGAGTGAGACGATCACGTATACGATCTGGCCACTTGGACACGTGGGCCTCAATGGTTGGAAGAATGGTGTCGTCATCGCCTAAAATGATGAATCTGATTCGAAAAATGTAAGATGAGCATAAACGGCAGCAGAATCAGAAATAAACGTTTTGAAATTTTATGAAATTTGTAAAAAATTTTGTGTACAAATGTTTTCTTTTTCTTTTCTGAGCTTATTTTTTAAGTGAGTAAACAAGATGCTTCTGATGCAGCCAACCGTAAATATGTTACATAATATGCCATTTTTACAATTTCATTTCATTTCATTTAGCTCCACATTTTTTTNCCCCCCTGAGGGGATTTATAATAGTAAACTGGAAGAGAATATAAACAGAAATTTCGCATTGGAAGTTGCATGAATATCAATGTGTAAAGTTATTTGAATACATATTGGAACAAGTTTGTTTATGAAAAAAATACCTCCACGGAAAAATTAAATTTTTACTAAATATGTGCATTATATTTCTAACAACTTTAAAGTTTGTTAGCATTGCTTATTGAGAAAACGATTAAAACCAACTTGAAGTCTGATAACTTCATCCAGGTTGGAAAAAGTTTGATGGTTTGGCAAATAAATTTTCTCGCGCGAATGTGGCAAGGCAAATAAAAGTGTGTTATTTTGTTTAATTATATGAAAAACCCTGCGTTCAACATGAAATCTAAATTTTCCAGTTAAACAATTTTCGCTCGTTATGCGTTTAATATGCAGAAAAATGCGAGGATGAGCATAACATTTTGCAAGTATTTAATTCAAAATTCATGAATTTTTTTCATCTGGACTCCGCCATATCGGCATGCTAAAAAATTTTCATATTTCAGAACTTTAAATGTGTTTGCTGACTTTGCAACAAGATTTTAAGTTGCAGTTGCTTCAAAACGCAATACTAGAACTTGGGATGAAAGAACTGAAATGTCATTTTTCGGGGGTTTGGAAAAGATATTTCTAAAAATGGTAGACGTTCTTTAGAAGTGTTTATAGAAGTTGTTTATCATATGTAAGAAGAATTTACAGTGAGGTTTTTTTTTTAAATTATAAAGCGGCCTTTCAGCAACTCAGCCGTCACAACCAACATATAAAATGGGAACATCCGAATCGGAAGGCTACCAAATGAAATCAACCACGAATAATATACATGAGTATTCCTTGGTGTGCAACGTGCAATACGTAAGCTACCAGGATTAGATTAATCATTACCTGATCGGGTAGTGACTGAGCGTCAAGGCTGACTTGATAAGCACTTTGGTTTGCCGCAATTGTGCCTCAAACTTGGTCATGGATGTCACTCCTACTCGATCGTTTTTTCCATCTGCGGAAAACCATGAGTTTTGCATGTACTGATATTTTGCTTACTATCTTTAACACAATTAAGCCAACCAGGAATGCCTGCCAGACAAAAAAAACAAGTGCAAGGGATTCAAGCCAGAGCGTAATTTCTCTAATTAATGAAACACCTCCATTTGCAAAATAACAAAACATTTATTGTTTGTTTTCTTGCAATTGTTCTCTTGCAGGCTATTTTTACACGGGCTGCATGGCTACTTCTTCAATTTACTACCAATAATTTTCATAACAATTACAGTGAAATGACGCCCACACATTTTCTGGGCTGTAATAAAAGAATATCCAGAAATATTATTATTATCATATACATTGACATATTCCACGTGTTATTTTATATCATTTTGTGTCTCTCAATGAATTCGCTGGCACTCCATGAAATTATGTCGGCATCGTTGATGCTTACCGTTGCAGATGATGAGGACAAAAGGAGGGCCCCGCCTGGCATCCAAATGTCCATGGTTCGATGTCCACGCCTCATCAGTCGCACTTCCTTGAACCCTCAATGCAATATTAGCAAGTTTCCGAAGAATAACTACCAACATAGTAGCAGCAATTATCACTGAGACAATTTTATGTCGCATTTTTAATTGAAGATATTTTTTATGGCGTCTTTCATAGTTCATATTAGATTTACTGAAAGAGGAATGGCAAATTTTCACTTTTTCTACATCAATGACAGATTTTTTAGTTACATCTATGCGTAATTCAGCAGACAGTTATGTTTGTGTCGCAGGCAATTCCTCGCAAGCAAACAGAGCAGATGACGCGATAAAACCGAAAACGAAAGAAAAATTGCTTTACCAAAAATGCGTTGCTTGTAGTTTTGTAATTGAATACGCTATAATACTGCTGGATTTTGTAAATGAGAAAACATCAAGTACGGTGAAACTAAACAACATTGGAATGGGTAATAAAGTTAGCCTATTTTCATTGGAATAATAAAGTATGATACCTAATCACGTCACAGTAAATCAAATGAAATCGAAAATTCCAGTTTAGAGGGATCGGTTGAAAACACCCGTATAGGTCAAACTCGTGATCTTTATTTAAAGGGATTTGATAAAAAGCACGGTTAGTAAAAAAATGAATAGTAAAAAATTAGTAAAAAATTTTACTGTAAAATTGATGGATGGCATTTAAGCTTCTCAGTGTTGGTCTTGATACCTAACATACACGCACGTGAAAAGTCGTATGAGTTTATACAATTAATATTCGGTCTCATTAGGAACAAAATTTCAAATTTTCGTAAAGCTAAATGATTTGGAATTTGTTGTCATTGTGCTCTCTTTTTAGCGCATTTTCTCATTTATGGAAAAAAATGCTATTGTGCTCATCATGTCCGTATGTCTGTCCGTCCATCCGTCCGTTTATCTGTGACTTCACGTTTTCGTCGATTTTGAGAAATTGCGCTCTGTCACTCGCTGCAGTGAGCACTGAGTTATATTTTTTTAAATGGTCGGGTATATAACTAAGGGAATTACCGATGACCAAATGACAAATATAATAAGAATGTAATTTTTGAAATCTGGGGCCTTCATTAAGCTTCTAATCTTACCAGTTGTCAGGCATAAATAAGTTTTAAAAGATTAATTTGAAGGATGAGTCAAAAGGTTTTTCGTATATTACTGTGTAACCGCTGTACCATAATGAATTAGGTTGCTTTTTTTGTTCTTGGAATCATACAATTGCGTGGCAATCATACAATCGTTTTCACGTTACGATGCCTGGAACATTTTTTGGGAGCACGTCGATCAATTAAAGACAGAAATTATTCACCAATAACGTCTTTTTAATAGTTAATTGTGCTCATGAGCAGTCATATTTAATCGTTCAATTCCATGTAAAAAATCATTTCATCCAAGTTCTTCATCTATCATCAACTCCAGCATCATCTTTACTCACCGCTCCCTACCAAGACGATCCTACCTTGATCAGTTGCTTGTGCGTCAAGAGCTCATATTTTTTCCGGAAAGACCAGAGGAACTAATTGTTGCCAAGTTGATTATTTCTGAATATTTTCATGGTCGCATGCTTGTGGTGACCGGGAAATCTTGATAAGGAAACCCCCGAGTAAATTTGTTCATTGAGGATACTAATTCAAAAAGCTGCACGAGTGGTCTGTGCATAATATTTTTGAAGTATTTTTCTTTGCTTTCCAATGTGATATATTTTAATAATTAAAGTGCCTGATTGAGGCGCGATAGATTGCAGGCGAAAATCATTATCGTTAGTTCAATTCTCTTTAAACCAAATATGAGGAATAATTATGAAACCCCCAAAAAATTAATTAAATGTAGCAAATAATATTGCTGCATAGAATAGTTATTGTATTGCATTCGGAAATTCATATATCAATTCATTCGTTTTCTTATATCAAACGGAAAAGAATCAAAATCCTGCTGATAGTTTTCACACCATTGGAAGACATAATAACTACATGTAGTTCAATTTACTTATCCCAAAACTATCACAAATTACTAAGACAAACTGGTAGAGTGAATTCTAATTTATTAATTCTATTCGAGTTACCTATCATCGACATGAAGAATATTCGCAGTGATGACATTACGATTTGACCTTTGCAGAGTTTCTAAGACTGCGAAATGGGACATATAAAGTACCTTATTATAGCTTTGTGTTGATCAATAAAGATGAGCACCCCAGTTCTGGAAAGTATGTCAAAAATTCAAATCGATTATATATCTGAAAGAAGTATTACATCGTGATTGAGTAGAAGGTTAAGGGTTAAGCCTCTAGGCTAGGCCCCATGTGTTTAGTAACGAATAGTTCCCAAACTTTACTAGTGGCAGAGGTTTAAAAATATTGAGTGTTTGGTAAATCGGGGGTAAATGGTCTTTAACCCGTGATTTAAGCCGTTTGGTACGCTCTGTGCTAAACTTTGTTGACACACTCGTTCTCTATACTTCTACTTTGGATAGCGATTTGTAGAGAAAAGCAATCTCCTCTCTCGAACATCTCGAACATGGGTAACCACACGAGAGATAAGATCAGAAGTAGTGCAATACGGTCTTTTGGATAACGAGAATTGAAGCAACGGATGACCTGGCAAGGTTAATTTGGCTTCTGATCACAATCAAATTGGCCCCATTGCCTTCGGATAACAGAAATCACCATCAATGATTTAAAAATATGCTTGACTCATTCTCGTCTTCAACCCGAATCTGCACTAACTTAGTTTGACACTGCAAAATACTTCGATCCCTTCTCTTAATTTTTCGTTAGACCTTCCATCCAGGAAGAACAAAAACAAGGACTTCATCAGGCATCTGCAGAATTGTGCTCCTAAATATGGTGCACCGTCATCTCCCCTGCGTTCAAGGTCTGCCTTTCTCATTGACGCCAGAAGGTCGGACACGAGGGCGCCTAGAGGGGCTCCTAAGACGTGCTCCTCCCAAGCACGGAACGTGATCTGGCAATACCCGACGTGGTATCAGACATGTTACTTAATTTCTATCCCGTTTGAACTTACATATGCATATATTAACAATCATATACTATAAATTGATTTGCCTTATTTATACCTCATTTGTTAATCGCCTCTTCTAGTCACTCAACTTACTAACCCTGTTGAAAGCATGATAGTCGAAGTACTCGTCGGTCAAGAAGCGCCCCCTGAAGCCGTGCAGAACGGAGAATCCAACGTTTTGCACGCGAGGGCACCGATAGTCCAATTCCAAGCACTGCTCCATATAGCCGTTCCACTCGCATCCAAGTTGTTGAACCAGGTGTGGCTTCTGCACGTTGATGGTGCGGGTAAATAATGAAATGTCGAAATGTTGCCGGGTATAAAATGTCTCGCGCCGCAGGTGAGATAAAGCTATTATCTGCTTGATTGATAACTTGGCCACAACCCTACGGTGACGAATGATAATCAAAGACTGGTTCTAATGAATGACTATTGAATGAAAGTATGAGATAGTAAATGAACATGTATTGTAATGAAATTTTATGATAACAATAAAGTAATTTGCAGAGTGTAGTGAAAATGGGCTAGTTCTAGTAGAGATGAATAAAATATGAAAATTCGTATTTTATTCAATTTTTTGTCCACTGATTCAACGCCGTGAATGTTGTTTGTTGTTCGTTTCTAATGGGTCAGAAAGTAGGTTACCGTCTTTGAAAAAACGTTTCATATACACTAAATTTCGAAAATGAGAGGCAGAGGGAGTCTGCAGATTGTGTCTACCTGAACGTGTTCAAAACGTCCTCCACCTCATTGTTTCCTGTTCTGCTCGCTTCCTACCTCAATGAGCATCATGTTTAGCACATCCTGGTCCCCCGACTGTATACGGTCCATGAAGGCCGTAATGATGTTCTCCAATGTCTGCTCTTCGAAAGGCTTCTGCCTCCAGCGTGTCAAGTTTGCCAGCAGCGGAGCGCCACAAAAACCCTTACCCACGAACGGCACCTGAGATTAGGAGGAAGTTTTGTCATCCTTTTCGATGCAAGAAGAAAAACGACTAACCTGTGGTGGACGGGAGTTCTATTTGGTGAGTATCAATTAATTCTGATTCTATTGACAAGATGAGATGCGCATAATTCGTAGACAAGATTTCACTTCTCAGCAATGCCTGTTCAAACGTGTCTGAAAACGTAATTAGTTGGTTAATGAAATAATTCTCATTGTTACTTACTTGAGCTTTGGTAGTTGTAGTTTCTATTTACGTCGCGTGGGTGAGCGTGTTTGGGAGCGCTCAAAACATTTCTATAAATATGACCAGGCTAAAATTAGTACCACAAAGAGGCCATTTACCATAAAAGAATTGTGCGTTTTTATCATAGATGACCATGACGTGTCTGACGTGCTGGGAGCTCAGTTTGGAGAAATCTTCATCAACCGACCGCAACCCAAAACAGGATAACCTAAATGAAGTCTTTCAGGAACTACAAGGTTGCGGGTGTCAGGGTATCGGAGATGCTGAACGGCATCAATCGAATCAATGGATAATAATGGACGGGTTACACAGTAATTTTTATTGAATATAAACAAGTAGACAAAGCTGTAGGCGAGAATACTCAACTTAGGGAACAAAGCATGGTCCTTTGAAGGAGTGCAGATAGCCGACGGTAGAGTCACAGACGACTAAGGGTAGTCAATGACGACTGACGGTATAGGCACAGACGACTGACTGACGGTCGAGTCACAGACGGTAGAGTCCGTCAGTCGCTGACGACTGACGGATGAAGCGCAGGCTACTAACAATATTGGGCGGTTAAATAGGTCTACAGACGATAACAAAATGCTGTGGTAGACTTGTTTATTCTGGTGTACTGGATAGTCTCCGCAACCGTAACTATGACGCTGGCGACCAGAGAATGAGTGGCTGATGACTGGCTAAAGGATTCAGATTATGACGCCTAATGTGAATATTACCCTAACGTAAACTGGAAATGACTCGATCATTACAGCGGGGTTTCAGTGAACATTAAGTTTGATGTACAGATGAGTATTCAAAAACCAATTACTTTTTCGGAAGCATGACCGGATGAACTGCCTGCAAGAAAAACAGGAAAAAAGTGTCGAAGCACCGAAGTTCACGCTGACTTAGCTATGAAAAGCATTGTCGAGAGATGGAAACGTTTCATGTTACCTCAATGTGAGAATGAACAGTCCATTCTAAATTGAAAGCTAGCGGCTTCAATCATGACCTTAATCATGAAATCAATGTCTATGAGAAAGTCGTGGCCAGAAGGTTTGTGCAGCATATGTAGGAAGCAGACTCTTCCAATCGAGGACAGCAAGGCTTCCTCCGAAAACGCCGCTGCTGGTATCAGTTGATGGAGCACTACCACTACCTATCATCAATTCAATGTTGGCAACATTCGTTCACTCAATTCAATGTTGGCAACATTCATTCACATGCTGCATGATTCAACGTAGGACTGACTCTGACCAGCATGGTCTGTTTACCTCGTGGACGACCTAAAAACCATCCGTTGTAGGTTTTAGTTGCTCAATCGAATGAAAATTTCGTCTCAATCCGAAACCAAATTTTTGTTTATAGGAATTGAATGAAATGTAGATGAAATAAACTGCATGCACTACCTATAAACTTTCCAAGATAATATTAGAGTCCAATTAAATAATCTACAAACCCACAGAGACACAAGTGACAGTATAATCCTCTTGTCAACCTAGGTTTCGGGGGAGGGGTTGGGTAGGTACCGGTTCTTGAGGCTAGAAAAACAGCTTAGCATCAATCGATTTGTGCCATACTTTTTTAATGATTTATAATTGAATATTAAATATTCATTTAGCAGTAAAACTACAAAATTCCAGGTTCATTTTCAAAAGTTTTACAATGAGGTCAAAATTAGGCTGAAATTCACTTTTTTCAAAATTTTCAATGGCTTAACGTCAACGTTGGATTAAAGGGGATTCGGGTTGTAGGCGTCCACATAAAAAACATCTTCGGATTGCGATTTTCCAAAAAAGTTGTTTTTCGCTACACCCTAGTAAATAGTCACTAGTTCCTATTGACACGCACTCACGATTTGGTAACTGATGAACGAGGATTGCCAGTGAGAGCGAGCACTCCGTTGAAAATATAGAACATCATGCCAGTCGGCACAGACCGGCGATTATTAATTTAAATGGTGTCAGTCTTACTTTAATGGTATGCGCCGAGTAGTATCCCTGTATGGAAGCCATTCCAAACATCTGCGTTTGGTTGAACAGCTGGAACTGCTGGGCAAGTAGTTCGGGCGCGCGGAGGAATATCATGTCAGTGTCGAGGTAGACGACAGCATCGACGTCTGGCAACACTCGCGGCAGGTACAGTCGCTCAGTCGAGCATTTGTCGTACATTTCCAGGATTGAGGAGTCCGACGGAACGTATATTGGTCTGAATTCTAATGAAAGTCGGGTCGAGTATTCCGAAGGCCATTGCGTTATTTTGGAGCAGACTTTCTTGTATATATCAATGTCATTGCTCAGCAAGATGAACCTGGAGAGACAAAAATAAAAATCTTTTGTAAAAGGTTAATGCCGATGTCCACAAACTTTAGTAACGCGTAGAGTGCAAAGGATCTCTGCCTACAGTAATATTTTATTCTTGAATGTTGAAATGCAACCAGACGAATATATATATTGCCATTCGACAGCGTTAGTTGAAACGGTGTGCCTGAGTATGAAAATTTAACTTGGTAGCGAGTCCCAGTTTGCGTGTTTGTGTCTACGTTCGTGCTTTGGTTCCCACACACTCACCACCTATTAATCCCCCTCCCTTCCCCCACACTCTAGGTACAACAGAAAGGCAGCAGTGATTCCGAAAGGAGACGGGACTCTGCTACTTCATCCCCGGAACACCAGATACTTTCTACTCCCAAACTCAAAACTTCAGAAAATATGCATTTGTTGAAAAAAACGTTCTGGGGAGGGCGAATCTATCGTAATCAGAGGTACAACAGGGCGGTTTTAATGGGAGCGCAGCCGTGCAACACAAATTTTGTGCACCAATAAGCCCTGAATCGAACGCCTTGGATCTCTCCGGACCTACACCAATCAGCCGTGCACCACTCGGCTTTGTCCTCTTCCGGCCTTGACCACCACCTGCCGTGCACCACCAGGCCGCGGATCGAATATGACTTCCTTCACCGCATCTGAGGTTAGGTTTCAGATAGCATAGTTCTGTTCCAAAATTTATCGTCCTTCGACCAGTGGCCGTTCGACCGAGGGCTGGTTCGACCCACGGCCTAGATACGTACGGCTTGAAGTATTGAAGGCTACGTTCCGGAAGGCAGGAATCATGATGGTCCATTACATCCAGGGCAGTGGTGGTCTTCGGCAGGTGACCCGTTTTAATAATTACCACACCGGACAACACATCTTACCGGAGTGGAGAACTCGATTTCACTATCATGTCAGTCGCAGTAATTTTTGAGGCCTGCAGAGACAAGTAGATCAGTTTCAACAACAAATGCAACAGCTGTTGACACTACACGAACAACAGCAGAAATCACAGCAACAAATGCAAGAGCTGCTAAGCCAGAGACCCCAGGCGGTGCAGTGTTGCAGCAACTAAGAAAGGACGAGTCTAGCATCATGAGAGCCAATATCGAGGTGCTCTTCCCAAGTAGGAAACGCCACAACATCGGCTTACATGAAGAAATTACTGAGACACTAAGGAATAATCATGCTTGCTTTAACCGAGTCCCATCTGAGGCAGGATATTGAAGATGGTGAAATCGAAATGAAAGGCTTTCAACATTATCGAGCAGACCGAAAAGAAGGGAGGAAAAAAGAAGGCGTTATAGTCTACCTCAGAAACTCCCTCGCGAAAAAAAAACAGTTTACCTGTATTTAGGCTCCAATGGATATGTGGAACATGTTATACTATACATCTCTCATCTCTAATTGTGCATAGCTATAGTATACCGACCGCCTGACTGCCCACCGGAAAAAATCAATGAAACTCTTGAGTGAATAGAAACAGAGGTGGCCAACTTGGGTGAACCTTCCCCAAATATTGTGGTTGCAGGAGAATTTAACCTTTCGCGCATACGATGACCACACTTAGACTATTTAGGACGGCGCAGAGATCAGGACGGAACCCAGGCAACACAAACTTAGATTCGCTAGGGAGCACTTGATAAGTCAACAGGTGCTGGTGCCAATAAGAGAACACAATATCCTGAATCTATTCTTTTCCAGCAATGAAGAATTGGCTGCTGATATTCGTGTTGAGAAGACCGCACTGTCAGACCATCGACTAGTGGTGGTCGAAACAACAATTGGGATTGGAAACAAGCCCAGACCTACATCTCGAGAGGGCCTGACTGGTCTAAATTTTCATCATCGAAGAAAAGACTGGGAGGCCTTTGGGAACGAACTCTTCGACGTCGACTGGAGATCAGAATTCCTGAAGTTAAATGCAGAAGCAATGTACAACAAGCTGTGCGAAATATTACTGCAGGTATGCACGCGTCACACGCCGGGAAGAACTACCCACAAACCGCACATAATTCCAAGGGACAGACGGATCTTCATGAGAAAACGAACGAGTTTGAACCAGATAGCGGCCGCCCCCGGAAATACGGAGAGGCGGAGGCTAGAACATCTAAGAGAAAATTGCGGACACTGAACGGCAGTTGCAGGACTCGCAATAGGCTGAAGGACAAGTTGTGGAGGCGCTAGCGGTAGACTATTCGGGAGAAAAAACTATTTTTACAAATATGACCAGTCAAAGGCCAAAATCAGAGCCTCAGTGGGGCGGGGCCTCTGAGAAATAACGATAACCCTAATGGAGACGACAATGGCACCTGCGAAATGCAAGGAGCGCAATTTGATAAAGTATTCAGCAAACCTAGATACTCATGACAGGAGAACGAAATTGGAGTCATTCAAGCCCTACCCGGTGAGGGGGTCGTGGGTTCTGATGATCATTGAGTTTGAAACACCGGATCTAGAGAGGAATATCCAAGAATTATCGACTTCTTCGGCTCCGAGGCCAGATGAAGTCTCTGCCGATTTACTGAAAAAAATATGTCGGTTGTCGGTTCACTAAAGGTCCTTCTGACTTTACTCTGGAAAACATCATAGAGAGAAGGAAACGTCCCTAGTTACCAAGAATTAAAGATACTAACCGCAATCTACAAAGGAGGTGCGAGAGATAGACCCTAAAATTACAGGCCGGGTACATTAACATCACGTATAATCAAAGTATTTGAGAAGATTGGTGCAGTGCATGGCGGAAACTGACCTTTTCAATCGAAGGCGATACGGTTTTGGACGAAATCGCTCCAGTTTGTCTCAGTTACTGGAGCATCACCACCAAATCCGGGCCATGCAAAAGGAGGGGGCCGGGGTGGCCGTGGGTATTTGGACTTCGCGAAAGCGTTTGATAACATTGACCATGGAGTGCTCTTCAGAAAATTAAGACTACTGGGGGTCGGAGGCGAATTACTGGAATGGATCCACAGCTCCCTAACAGAAAGACTACAAGATGTCGTTGTTGGAGGCTCTAGATCGATTGAGGCCAGGGTGAAGAGTGGAGTACAACAGGGAACGGTAGTCGGCCCTTTCCCTCATTTACATCGCCAACATAGATATGACAGTGTACCACACCACTGCATCTTCATTCGCGGACGACACTAGGATACTAATGACTATCACGGACAGGACGGACTGTGAGAGGTTGCAAGAAGACCTCTCTGCCATATATGACTGGGCGCAAGTGAACAACCTGCAGATCAAAAGGAACAAGTTTGAGGTGCAGAGGTCCCGGAAGAGCTGGAATGAAGCACCGCTTCTTAGCACATGACAACTCGGAAATCGAAGAAAAGCGACTCTTTCGCGATCTAGGAGTGTTGATGAACACTTGGGTCAAGTTTGGTGATCACATATACGGCAATAACCGCAGGAGGTAGGCCGTAGGCGACAGATGGGATGGATCAGGCGGACGTTCAGAACGTTCAGATCACACTCTTCAGAGACCTTGGAATGCCTATCCTTGAATACTGCTGCCAGCTCTGGACCCCGTACACACTCGGCGCAGTGAGGCAACTGGAAGGGGTCCAACGAACCTTCACTTCCAGGATTAGAGGGATGGAAGAGTTGAACTCAAGGAGAGGCTGTAGCGACTGGGTCTGTACTCACTGCAGAGGAGACGGGAGAGACATGACATTCTGTACACATGGAAAATGATAACAGGAAAAGCACCAAACTTCGAAAGCGAGACCTTCTGGATACCATCACATACCATAAGAAGAAAATGGGGAGACTGTGCAGAATTCTCGACAACGTAACAGACCTTCGGTCAAATTTCAATCCCTGCGGGAATGATCCCTTTCCGTGTTAGGGCCGAGGCTGTTTAACGTCCTACCAAAGGATCGAAGAGAGGGTGAGTTCACCCTAGAGTCCTTCAAGATCCGACTGGACGTGTTCCTGGGCAAAATCTTTGATCAACCACCAATACCAACGGCGAGAAGCATGCAACAGCATCGTGCATCAGCTGGCCCACATGTGGGCGGATCCGCGGATGCGCGATAATCAGAGGTGGTGATCCATTGTGGCCTGGGACTGCTGCGTCCGAAACAGATACTAAAGCAGAAAAAGAGTATGTCAGCGCCACCAACAACGCAGTCCTGAATGAGAAGGTTTGATGTTAAACGATGAACACGATTTACAGGATATCAACAAGACCCTCAGTCTTGTTGATATCACACAAGGAAGATACTAATAAGCCTTTGCCAGAGGTGGCTCTCTCTGTGGTCCAAGAGTTTCTCTCTCTCTCTCTCTCTCTCTCTACAGCGGTGCAATTGTCGCGATTGGCAGGGAATGCGCGATAGATGACCCACATAAATATGAGAATATAAGAGAATAGTACGGCGACATGTAGAAATGTCATAAAATTGTAAATACCTCTGGTTTCTTCTTGCAACACAATTAAGAACGTCTGACAACCATTGAAAGTTTGTTATGTTATTAACCGTTACTTTTACGGATTGTGAAGCTTTACTGTCCAGTGACTGATAGCGATATGTCCATAAACATATACTTGTGTTGACCTTCCCTTATCCAACCAGGTAGTGACTTATCACCTTGGTAGTAAGTCTATATGAGCTCCACCTAGACCCGGAAACCAAAGTCGTGGGCGAGAATCGATGTCGGTATAACCCATTGCCCCAGTCCATGTCACACAGAATAGTATATCTAAATCAACGTCAGAGTAGAGAACAGCCTCGTATATACTCTAGACTTATCTTTACTTCAATTGGACGCTGAAGACATTAGTGTTGAAGCTTCAACATATGATCATGTTTCACTATAACATTTTACTCTAAGCCGAATATAATCATTAATAATAATATGCTACTTTAATACTATAATGCCGCTGTTTCTCAATATCGTCGGATCACGTTACAACCGAACCAGCCCTCAGGTCCTACATAATTACTATTCATATAAGATTTGCACAGAAAAGCAACATCGCACATTGGCGCCCCA